GTTTAAACCCCGGTGCATCCTTAGGTTGTGCTAATTGAGGAATGAAGGGATAAAAATCATTAGCATTTCGAGGATGGTTACCAATGAGATGATTGAAGTCCATGTCAGTTTCAGTAAAAGTATCTGATACAGAATCTCCAGTCACATAACACAGCTCTGGATAACCACTAGAATTTAGTGGACATGCAATGTTGCCAACTAAGGGTGTGTAGTGTTTGAGAGTGAGGGAGAGTGAATGTTTAAGAGTAGGAATAATGTTTTGAACGAAATCGAGTTTGGAAATCGATAGCTTGTAGAATAAAATCCTACGCATATAGCCAAAAACAAACCACATATGATCAAAATAAGTTAGAGGGAGCGTTAGCTCAGCTGCGCCACCGTGGGGAGGTGGCGCAACTTGGCATTGCTCAATCAGAAGAGAAGTCATTGTTGTTTGGTAAAGTAATAGACAAACTAGCTTTGGCTTATCAATATCTAAAGATTTTGAATGTGTGGCTGATGCACAAAGTATAGGTTTGGTATATAAATATCTACTCATGACTTTGAATGTGTGGCTGATACACAAAGTAGGTGTGGCTTATATATCAATGTATTAGACAATAATATGAAAGTTAGTCAAGTGATTGTTGCTACTTTGCATATCATTGCCAGATTCAGAATTTTCATTAAGAAAATTCAAAAATATTTGCGGTTGGAATTTTGAAGGTAATTTTTTTGAACTCTTAAATTATTGAGTCAACCTCTAGTCTTGTGTTCAAGAGATTCAGATTTCATAATCTCTCTTTATATATATATATATAAAAATTATTAGCTGACCTAGACAATGTAATTATCGTATATAAAATGTTGATCCTTTTAAAAAGAATTTCGAATAAGATAAAATTATCTTTGTTGTTAATTCTCTAATAATAATAAGAGCCTTAAAATTAACTAAGACCATCTCCAACCCACCTCTATTTTACCCTTCATTCTCTGTATTTGGAGAGTAAAATAGAGAATGGTTACTCCAACTCACTCTATATTCTCTAAATTTGGAGAATTATTATTCATGCTCTCTATTTTACTTTTTTAATATTTTACTATTATTACCATTACTTTCCAATTAACATATTATTTTACATATAGTTTCACTAATTAAATAACTAATATTCATAAGTCATTTTGAATGTAATATAATATTTTAAAAAATATATTATTTAATATATGCTACTTTAATTTCAAATTAATACATTTTTTTTATAATTTTCATCAAAAATAAAAAATTATTTTATTATTAATTTTCATTATAAAGAATATACAAAATTAAAATAGTAAGATGAAAATTTTAATTTGAATACAACATGACAATACAATGCATTAAATAATAATATAAATACAACATAAAATACAATAATTACATAATAATTAATTCGCGATGAAACAAGAACCATGTAAAAAAGATGTTGAACGAGAATTCAGAGTTTTGCAAGTATTGCAAGTCCCTCACGTTTACGGAGAAAGAAAGTGCTACATGATATAATGACAACATATATTATACTACACAACGTGACAGTTAAGGATGAACGAAATCTTAAAATCCACCAATTCAAGATGTCGTAGAGGCTCCAACTCCAACGATAGAAATAGTGTTAGATGAAAATCTCCGATTTGAATAATTTTAATTTTATTTGAATTTGTTCATTAATTCATATATTTTATAATATTCTCGTGCAATTTATGGTATTTAAAATTTTTGAATAAAATATAATAATTAAATTAAGAAATTGAAAAAATAATTTTTTTATTACATGAGAATTATATATATAATTGAGAAAAAGAAATAAATGATTTATATAATGAAATAAGAAAATAAGAACAAAGAAAATAATATTATAATATTGAGAATAGAGAATTTTTTTTTAAAAGAGTAAAATAGAAAATTAAATTAAAATTAATTATCTTAAAAATAAAAAATTCCGTATTTAGAGAATAAAATAGAGTGCAGAGGAGATGCGCTAAATGCTCATTTTGGTTTCACCAGAATAGATGAACATTAAAAGTAAATAACACGTGCTACGTACCCTATGCTCTTTTCTAGATTTTTGTTATATTTTTAATTAATAAATTTGCATTATCAACAACTCTCATTAACTTTTTATTCTTCAACGCCCTCCTTCAAGGTAAGTGGTATGAAAATAATCTTCCTACCAAAAAGAATGAATTATAAGATTTTTGCAGAGTTTAAGTATATTTTTAAAATAAGAAGACTAATTTAAGTAGACTTCATGTATTTTCCAATAATTAAACCTTAAGAAGATTTGTCAAAAAGAAAAGTATAATATATATAGCAGTACATTTTCTTTTAGAAGATACATTACTCTTGAAGGTGCAAAATACATAAACAAAATTTAAAAAAAAATTAATTATTCGGCTTAGAAAAAACTAATATCAAGCAATTGAATATGAGAGTCTGTAAGGGTAGGGGTCTTTGCCAAATCCTCGAAAAGTACTCAGACTTGGCATAGAAAGCTAAGCCCGTGAGTGAATATAGTAGCAAAAGCATTCATTCGAGTTTTAGACAAACACAAACCAATCTCTAAATCTCCATCAAAATCTTTAGATTTACTAAGAGACATCGAAATTCCGTCATCATCATTGTCGATAGAAATAAATTCTAACTTTGCGGCTCTTCCCCATCCAAAATCAGCAGCATATAAGTCATGTTTTGGCGATCCAGCAATTGAAAACGATCGAATCACATCTACATTGTCGAGTTCTTTTAACCAATCACCATTAAGGACCCATTCATCATAC